TTTTAAATAAGAGTTTGCTCAATTAAGAATTGCAGAATTTAACTCCCTGTCCATTCTATTAAGGTCAGTAATGACGTTTCTCTGTGTGACACTTTTTTCCAAAAAAAGTATTATGAGCATTATGAGTATTATGAGCAAATAAGTATACTGGCTATCACTTATTGCCATTCTACATGTAGTTAGTTTTACTTATTACAGTTATAAAATAGAACTCATTTGCTAAGGATAAATTAAACTGACTATATTCTTAATTTCAGTCTCATAAATTATCCCTGATAAACGGCTCCACCTCAGCACCTACTCACTCACTAGCTCTTTCTCATCTGCCCTGAAACAACGAGTGGTTTCTCTGCCTCCATATGGTATGCTTAACCATATGGTGTACGCAGCTGCGTTAAAGCATTAAGGCATTATCTCTACTGTCTCACCTGGGCAAGGGACCAGTCATGATTCCGCTTGTTCACGCAAAGACTGGAAGTGTCTCTTGTAATCATGGGCATCAGAATCGGAGTCCTGTCTTTATACTAGCCCGTGTAGTTGGCTATAGATGAAAGAAGGAGGCAAGCAGGCTGAAACCGGTTATTTAAGGAATGTTCTAGCCCTTGTTGTGATGGTCGCTGCTCTGGAGACAGTCTGGCCGAGTCGGGCAAAACGCATCTGGGAGTCCCACTTCTTCACAGTTCTTCATAATCCCCCATGATACAGGCTTTGTCTTAACAGCTGCAGTGCAGTCCTTACAGATGATAATTTACTAAAAGAGGAAAGAAACAACCTAGGACAAAGTGCACCTGCAGGCACCGCATTGGATCAAGGGAATCATCATATGAAGCAACAAAAGTAACCCCTGGAGATTTTGTGCAAGAATGGGCAGCCTCTGGGATAGATATATATCTGTTTCCCCTTGCTCTGGCAAGTCTTCTCCGTGTCAATCTCTTTTCTCCTTTTCCATTTGTTTTTAACGGAAAGGAAGCAATTGCCTGATTGGAGAAAATGATAGAACAGATTTCATTGCAGCGGATCCTTTTGTTGATATAGGTCCAGCTTGTTCGGCTGAGTAAGTAGTTTGCTATGTGTAGGGCAACTGGTGGAATTGGGTACTTGAGAGTATCTCTCCCACCTGGTTACAGTCTCTGACAGAGCTGGGAAAAGCTGTAAGTCACGTCAGCAGAAGAGAGAGAGTATCTTGGGAAGCAAAAAACTGGTTCAATTAGAGAGTGAATCCAAGGTGGAGGGCACACTGCCATGTTCTCTTCTCTTTTACCAACAAGGTCTTTATGGTATTGTGCTAGTATAATTGGGAATACTTTTTGACATCTTTGAGTCAAGAGATGAACTGAGGGTGGGATACTTAAGCATGAACAGATGAGAAATGAGGATTAGAAATGCTATTTATGTTGTAGCAAGCTGTTGAAGTCCTAATCAGAGGCCAAGATTTTACAATGGAAATGCAGAACAAAGCGATGATCCATACAAGTTCAGAGTCAGATAATGTTTTAGCGGTTGTAGTACAAGGCAAGCAGTTACAAAGGCTCTAATTTCGTTACTTAAGAGCCCAGTCCCATGAAAATATCTTTGCTGCTGCTAGAGCACAGGTTTCCTGTGTATCAGCAGAAGATTAAGCACCATCTGCATGGAGATGCTCTGTGTCTGTGCTTCTGCTGGTTCTTTAATCATTGAAGACATTCTGTCGCCCTTCCTAGGGCCAAAACCCTCTTAACAGCTGACTACCCTTGTGGCTCCTTGCAGAGCAGGCAGCGTCAGTAATACAGAAGTCTTGTCTTTTTGCTCTGAGTTCCACTGATCTGGTCGGAGCTCTTTGTTCTTCCTTTTCTGTCATCTGGCTAGCAGTTTTCCTTACTCAGGCTGTGTGGTGCAGTAGTGTTTTATTTTCAAGTATTTAAATCAGTGATGTCAAGGAGGGCTGCTCCCATGCAGCTTCAGTTCGCTCCGGAGCTGAAAAGAATCTGAGAATCTGAAACGCTGAGAGCCATGACTGAGAATCTGAGACCCACGACTTATTCCTCTTCAGTTCATGCCAACTCCTGGAGGATGGTGGGGAATTAAGTCTCTGGCCTTTTTGCTTAGGTACCTAGCATGTTTGGCGGAATGCAAATAATCTCAGAATAGCTGTTATTTCATTTGTGATGAACTGTAAGGTAGGTAGAGATATTCTGGGGAATAACGTGTTCTAGGCAAAGTTCCCAAGGAGAAACACAGGTTAGTCAAGAAAATGACCAGAAACGTTTCTTAGCTGCTCTGTCTCGTGGTTTTCTGTAGCCCTGTTCCTTCCAGTATTTCCTGTGAAATGGTCTCTCTGGATATATTCATATCTTTTGATCGTCTCTCTTAGTTTTGAATTGTTGGGATGTTTCTTCCTCTCAGGTGTAAGCCTCGCTGCTACCACCACCACCTTTTCACAGCTCTTTTCGTTAC